CAAACCTGTGATCCAACTTTTTGGGAATGTGGTGCAGAAGAATGCGGATATTGCGGAAGCAAAGAAGGCCGCAGCAGCCATTGCAGAGATTGCGAATCGCTACTGCGCGCCGGAAGAAGGCAATTCTGCAGGATTTCCAAAATTCAATGCACAGGTTCCTCTACCTCCTTCAGCAAAGGCAGACCCACCGATATTGCCTGCATCTGCAATTGGAAGTGAGAAAGCATTTCAGGAGCAGAAAGGCAAAGGGAAGCAAGCCAGAATTCGAGAAAGGTGGTAAGCCAGAATTTGCGAAAGGTGGCAAAGATGAGAAGGGTGGCAAAGATGACAAAGGTGGCAAGAATGCGGCGAAGGGAGAATTCAAAGGTGAATCCAAAGGAAAAGAAGGAGACAAAGGGAAGCAGGGTCCAAAAGGACCGACGCTGCCTCCTCCCAAAGCTTCTGGTTCGAAGTGTGCACGCATCTCCGAAGAGCCTGCGGAGGTTGTGGAAGCCAATTCGAACAAAATGCATGACAATGGTGCTATGACCGATGGCTCTAAGCGACGCCATGAGGCCGTTGAGTTGAATTCGGATGCTGAAAGTGCCAGCAGTGTCATCGGAAGTTTTTCCTTCATCTCCGACACCGGCGACTCCCCGCCATTATTCCCAGCTGTGCAGTCTGGACTGCCAGCAACCCACAAGTGGGCTGAGAACTGGATAGATGCCACCATCGACTATGAAGAAGTCGATTTCAATGTGCCACAACCTGCATGGATCAAGGATACATATCATTGGTCCTGCACGCTTCTCAAGATGGGCCGTTTTGCAGAGAAACCCATCACCTACCATGACTTTGTTGTGAAGGTGTTCAACAAAAGCATGGAGGAGTGCCGCTACGCAAAGAAGATGACTGGCCAGTTCCGCAAGAAACTGACCCCAACACCCAGGACACAGGGTCCTGATTTCTGTGCCTTCTTAATTCACTGCAGGGTGGACGCATTTCTCAATGCAGGCTATGTCTACCAGCGTGAATTTGCATGGCGCTGATGGGGATGAATGCGGACAACATGGAGCTGGATGTGGCGATTTTTTTGTGCATGTGCAATGTGCCTGGAATTTGTTGCGATGAATGCTCTCTGCAGAATCTTTGGGCTTCCTTGGTGATGAGCTGGACTGCAGGGAATTCGTTGTGGAGCAATTTCAATGTGGCATTCTTGCACAGCCTTTTCGTTTTCTTTCTACATCAATGAGAATGTGGACACAGTCAATGGATATAAACACAGGATTAATTCGAGTACACAGGTATTTTTGCAATACATCTGCAACTGGTGTGAAGACGCGACTTCGTGTGCAAGTCCTCACTGGGAGGTTGAACAGATAACAGCAATTTTATACATATGGACAGCATGTATGAGTCTTTTGACTTCGACTGAATTTAGCTGGATTTGGATGGATGGGAAACGCAGCAAAAGGGGGTATGGAAATATACACTCCCGTGCATACAGTGGGCATGTGCTACGTTTCCTGCATGTAACTGGCATGGTGGCTATGATTTGATGTTTTTGACAATGCAGTTGAACAGAACTCTGGAAATGATGCAGAACGATGTGGAGACATCTGAATTTGAATACAGAAGCATGGAGATTTGATTATTTTTGGATGATGATGTTTGACATCAACTTTTTGGAGAAGAACTTCGTTTTCTGTGAAATTCATTTGCACTTGATGCAATCTGGACAGCAAATGAATTTGGAATGAGTTTTTGGTGCGAACGTTTTGAGGTGAAGTTTGACGTCGTTTTTCAACTCCATGTGCATGATGTTTTTCAACAATCTCAACAGAATGTTTTCTCAACTGGACTGCATTTTCGTTTCTGGAAGTTGCCAAATGTTTTGCCAACGTTTTTGATGTTTTTGGAATTTGACGAGAAGATGCGAATGAACAAAGATGTTTGTGGAACAACATGGTGAATTCGAACAAGTCGAATTCACCGCCTTTGAGTGAGAAGAAGTTTGTGGAGACCGTTTTATTCTGAAGTTGTTTTTGCATGCCGCCGCTGCCTTTTTACAACAGAGCAGACCAGCCAAGACAAGAGAAGTCAAACATGCATGCTGCATGTGCAAGACATAGCTGGATAGACAGCTCGCTTTTCGTGTTTTCCTGTGTGGAAAAGGGAATTGAGTTTTGCAGTGACAGCCGTCGTGTTTTTGGGTTTTAACTTGTTAAACGCTCGACGCGGAGTTAAGCCGACCCTTGCGACGTTAGGAGCGCGACTAGTGGTTGTAATTAGGTCCTGTTGGATTTTCGCAACTGTGCCGTGTCGCTGGCTCTTTTATTCTGTTGTTGACATGCACCGTGCTGGAGCATCAAATTCCAAAGATGAAGTCATCCAAATTTCAGTGAAAATCGGCCATGCAACTGTTGTTGAAAATAAACATCACATTCTCCAAAAACGTCGTTCCCAGTCGCTCACATGCAGCAAAAACGTAAAACCAGTTCCACAAAACTTCACGTCCACAAAGTCGTTGAAATAAAACCAGGTTGAAAAAGGTTTGGAGTTTGTTGTCGAGCATGCACATGCGAAGACAAACGGCAAAAACCATCTTCATCATCAAATTCCGCAACCCTCCAAAAAACCAGTTTTCAGCAAACGTTGTTTTACACAAAAACATCCTCAACCGTTGTTGATACTCGGCAAAAACTTCGTGAATGCAAGCTTCCAGAAAACGTTGAAAACCACACATCATATCTCATCCGTTGATGAGACTTGTCCAAAACAAATCTGTTCAACATAGGCCGTCCATTTCCACGTGAATTCATGGATGAATTCACCATCATCTCGACGCATCCAGTACGATGGCTTGGCACAAACCGGAGTACTTTTAGTTCTCAATGGGCCTATTGGCGAGCTGGCATACTTTCACGAAACCTAGGCCCTATGGAGGGGACGTGACTCCGCAGACTGGGACAACCAGCGGCATTGCTAATCCTCTCCTGGCCACCAGTCTGGCTGTCTTGTGGGATCGTGTTCTGCATTCAAGGTATCCTGAGATTTTGCCGTCTCGTTCGGTTATGTCTGTCCAGAAAGCCATAAACCTTTGGATGTCTGACCGACCGTACAAACAAAACAGCACCCAGAAGCAACTCTGTCCATCAAGTCCCTTCTTTCATCTGACTCAACCTCTTTCACAGTGAGGACCCTTGCTTGGAAAAATTCAAGGCTTCGACAAACCCGTTTTATGTCTTCGAGCTGGGATGACGTAATGCTGCTCCCAAGTCAAAGTCACAGGACCATGCCTCCGATTGGGTACCACTTCTCTTAGGTTTTGGTTAGCGATTTCTTCAACGTCCCTTTCTGTTATGTCTGATTCTTGAAGTTGATAACATCGCCTGCATCGGCTGAAAAGAGGAGGATGATTGATTTCCGAAGCTATCAAATTCAATAGAACCCATGACCGGGGTAGGAATCAGACTGGCAGGATCTTTGTTGAAGATCAGGGACATCCCTTTGCGTTCCCACGGCGTCTTGAACTTGAACGTTGGCTTGACCGCCAGGCAAGTTCCTATTGCTGGCCTCGTCCAAATTCTGGTGGCTGAGGCCGGAATTCGGGATACCCATCTTCTTGGGACGGGGTGGCAACACCGAAGAGGTTCATTTCCCCAGACACGTCAGCATCTCCAGAGTCTAGATTCTCAGGCAACGGCAGCTGGATAGTGCGCGAATTAACGGATGCTAACTTGAATGAAGGCGCAAATGGTCGATGTCTGGAGAATCTGTTTTACTAATAAACATTGTCAACACGTCAGATTCAAATCAAGCCCTGGGGCATCCAATTGAAGAACACACATCTCTCTGACGTGATCTGAGACCAACACGGAAGTTTGCAACATGCAATCGAACGTGTTGAACGACCTGGCGAAAGCCAAGAGGCGTCGGACGGAAAAAAAAAAGATCTGAGACCAACACGGAAGACTACTGTCGAGAAATGTGATGTCAAAGAGGCTGACTGCTTACTCACTTGAGTTGTCAACCGGGCCGTAGAACTTACAAAAGAAAAGGATTGGCCACTGACAGAGGATGTCAACGTAACTGACTTCTTTGTCTAAGGCAGTGATGACGCAAATGTCAAACCAATGAACCCGCTGACATGTGACTTCACACGTTTGCCGAACTCAACTGTCCTGAGTTGATGACGCGCTCAAGTTCTCTCAATGCAATGGTCCTGAGACGGCATTGCCAACCATGTGTCAGTGTAAACTTAGACACCTCGAGACAGATGTTGCCTATAATGATCTCAATAGCTTTGGTTTGGAGTCAAGACTGTCACTTGACAAGCATGACACCCAAAGGTTGGAACGGATTGCAGATATTGATCCACATGAAAGGATTGGTGGTTCACAGGTGGTTTAGATTATTTTGTGGAGATTCTCTCCAAAGACAAGCCTCCGACTCAGCGTGCACCACGATATCCAGTAGTGATGATGGAAGCATTTGAACATGTTGTTGAAGATGATAGTCAACGCATTGGTTTCCGTTTGGTTGCATGGGTGAAACTAGTCAAACTTTGGGCAACATTACGTTGGGACGATGTGCAGAAAATCATCCCGAAGGAATTCAAGTTTTACGGAGGGCGCATGACAACCATCTTGAGAACAACAAAGACGACGGGACCATCGAAGCGAGTCCAGGAGCTTCCTGTCTGTGTCTTAGAGCATGCTTTTATTTCGAATCCCTTTTGGCCGAAGACTGGTTTTGATTTGATCAAGAAACATGCACCGTTTGAGAGAGATTATTTGCTGCCGAAACTGAATGATGAGTGGTCTGCATTTAGAAAAGCTATGGCTTCATACAACGATATCAGTGCGTATCCAGCGAGAGTGAGACGCAGACTGAAAAGGCCGGGCAAAAAGGAATATATCATACACGCAGTACTTGCTCCATTTTGGACTGAGCATTCTGAGCGCGCTACGTTACCAACTGGCCTTGCTCTTCTACGTGCTCAGCGTGAAGAGCGTGACATGTTAGTACGCTGGAAACCTGATGGGTCGGACACTTATGTCAGGATGTACAATGGAGTCATTGCAAGATTACAGCTTCAGTTTGCAAAGACGGCGAGAGGACAAGATCGCCACAAGACTTTGGAGGAGAGAGACATTGTTGAGAGTGCAATGTCATGGATTTCAGAAAGGTGTGAAAACTTGCCGGAGGAAGGAATTGACCTGATCCTTCAACATTTTGAAGCATCTTTGACCTCGCCCATACTGGCGGACTGGACTGAAGTAGGTGACACGGAACATGTGGAGACAGTGCATGAAGAAACTTTGACTGGGTTTGCAAACACAGAATGTAAGGCAGCAGATTCGAGCAATGTTACAAAGGAGAAATGTGAACCAATGTTTGTCGTGGTCAACAGTGGAAAGAAGTGCAAACGTTTGCATAAAAGCCGTGGTGGTTGCTGGATGGGAAGAGAGATGAGTTTCAAGTCAGCTACAGAGTATTTCACCATGCCTGAGGCAGGAGAGTATACACATTACTGCAAGGTTTGTTGGCCTAAAGCGGGGCCAAGCACAGCCGCATCTGATTCTTCTTCATCTTCATCCACGTCGAGCTCACGAAGTGCCAGCAGCTCATCAGGACAGTCAAGCGAATAGTTTAGTTTTGTTTGTGTGCATCATCCCAAACGGGACAGGTGGATAGGTAGCATTTCACCCGGTGGAAAAATCATTTGGCTGAGGCTGCAAGTGTTGATCAGTCGGTGAATCTCATTTGATTGGGTTGTTCAATTTGAACTTGGTTGAAAAGGAGAAACTGATCATCATTTCAATGCAGTAGTGGTTACCATGCCGGAAAGAGTTGCATGGGCAAGACATTGAGAGATCCGCTGATTTCTCCGGGTTTTAGGCTCAGCTCGGAAAAGCTGATGAAAGTTCCCAAAGGATCGGCATGTGCACCAAACAACGGAAGCTTGAATCTTCATTTTTAAATGTTTCAGTTTTGTTGTTGGTTTTGATTGCAATTTTTGTGAAAAATTGGGACTGGATAGTTTGTCACAACATGGCATGAATAGGCTTCTGAACTTTTGCGCCAGCGCTCGATAGCATGGCCTCTCAAGAGGAGATTGGTCTGCAGGAAGCGTTGAAAAGGGGCAGTTCAGACCTGAAGTTCATCCTTACGAGGAATGACGTGTCAGACGAGTTACAGGCTGGTTTCTACAGAAAGCCGAGTTCAACACGGACGCAGATACAAGTTTACAAGCTAGAGCACAAGTAGCTGCAGTGATTTGTGCATGGCGCGAAACACAGAGGCGTCAAAAGAGACAGGCGGAGGTAGAGGCTGAAATGGAGACTCATGAATGGACAAAACCCATTCCGACTGGAGACTATATCAACATGCGAAACGCCTACATGAAGGTGCATGGAAGGTTGGAAGATAAGGTGACTCCATCAAAGGAGTACTTAGAGAAGAAGCTGCAGGAGTTGGAGAATGGGGAGTTCAGGGCCGAGACAATGGCCGAAGTGGTTTCGAAGGACGAGGTGGATCCTGACTTTGATGATACCAGTGTTTGATGCAAAGGGGAGCCTATCAGTCAAAAAAGGGGCTTCTACAATTCCTTTGCCTACAGGACCTGAGCAGCTTAGACGTAGGTTGTCTGTTATGGTCAATGCAATCCTCATGTTGGCCATCAAGCACCCCAACAGGGAGGAGATCCAGGACGTCACCCGTGACCTTTTCGAGAGATACAAGGACTACGTTTTGGGTGACCACGTTTGGGGGCTTTCATCAACAGATTTGCATGGGAACCAGGTGCAGACTCCGCCTTGGGCACTGGTGCTTTCTTACGAGCAAGCCATACGTAAGAGGGCGTATGCATTGATGGTGACAGATCATTTACAGTTTGGGAAGGCCTTGGAACAGGCTTGGAAGTGCCCTACGACCAAGGAACGTCACTTCATCACTCCACTTGCACTTTACAGCAAGAGATCCTACCCGCAGCAGAACTGGGGAGAGTGGAACCCCAAAGGCAAGGAGCAAAGGGCAAGTCGAAGGGCAAGGGAAATGGTGTTACACCGGATGGCACAAAGATCTGTTTTCGTTTCAATCAGGGCAAATGCAGCTACCAGAAGTGCAAGTTCTCGCATGTTTGCAATCGATGTTTCAAGAAGGGACCCAACGCCCTGAATTGCAAGGAGGAGAAGAACACCCCGGACACGACCGGGGCACACTGACCAAAGTTGGATCAGCCTGCATGCAGTAAGGGCTCAACTTCGAAGCAAGTTTGCAGAGTTCTTTTTTTTTTTCTGGAAGACCCAGGGAAAATTCAGTTTCATCATGGCTGCGCAGACATCGAAAAGATATGGTGTTGCAGTCGAGGTTGAAATGGTCAACAAAATAGCTTGAGGACGTTATGATGCAGTTTTATTCAGCCCACCGTGCAGTACCTTCTCGAGAGTGGTTTGGGCAAACAGACGTGGACCACGACCGGTCCGATCATACAGATTCCCCAGGGGCCTAAGCAGGCTCACATGGGCCGAGCGCAAAAGAGCGTTGTGGGGGAACACCATGGCAGATTTTACTTTCAAGGGCTTTGAACTGCAAGCGAAACAACAGGGCATTGCAATTTTTGAAAACCTGGAGGACCTGGGAGCTATGCGTACCAGTAGTGGGGAAAACTTCGGAGTGAGGCCAGCAAGCATGTGGCAATGGGAGCAGGTTACAACGTTGTTACAATTGGAGCAAGTGACAACAGTGGCTTTTCATCAACTGGACTTTGGAACTGATTATTTGAAGCCCACTAGACTTCTCCTTGCAAATGTTGACAATGTGCATGAAGCTTTCTGCAAAGGGCAACCATGCTTTGATGACCAAGGTTTTTATACGGGGCCATTGCAGGCGCGATCAGCACAGAGACAACTGGTAGGAGCAGCAGGCTCTGTTTTTGCAACGACGGGTTCAGAACAATGGCCTTCATCCTTTTGTGAATGGGGTGCGCAAACTATTTTGGAAAAAAATACATTGCGCAACAGTGCGAGTCCTGCCATCGCTGAAGATGGGGGCAAGACAAACTCAGACAGGACTGACTTCCCCATTTTACAGCCGGATGGGGACCGGGACAAACTTTTTGGAGGAAGTGGACAGCCCAGACAATGTCAGCAACCTGGTAGGGAAAGATTTTTCCATGACGGGGCTGGACTCCCCTCAATGGGGAGGTGGGACATTGACAAGAGAATTTGGAGTCAAAATGTTTTTTGGACGGAGTTGCGGAGAGAGACATTAGATTTGGTATTGCAACACCTGGGGGATGACAAAAAGCTGGACCGTGCCTGTTTTGAGATGGCGGTGAAAGGGGAGCAGGGATGTGACATAGTCTGCGACGAAGTCCTCAAGGACAACATCAGAAAACTCTGGGTTAGAAAGCTACAACAGCACGGCAGTACTCAAGAGGACCTGGAGTTCAAAGCACCGGGGCAGCCTTTTCACTTGAGGCTTCTTAAGGAGCTACTGGCTTTTTCTGGTGATGTGGATAGAGAATTTTTAATGCAGGGAGAGCGAGGTTTTCCGGTGGGGGTGGACATACCACTCCCAAGAACTCCACACGTTTTTGAAGAGCAGACAGCATGGAAGCTAGAGGATGAACTTTAAATGCAGGAGGAGGTCTGGAGATCCAATTATCAGTCTGTGGATGCCCACCAGAGCTTTGTTAGACAGCAGTTTGAGGAGGAGTGCAACGAGGGCTTGATGGAAAGGCTCACACTGGAAGAGGCAAAGCAAAAATTTGGTGGACGTTTAGCTATATCCTCACTTGCAGTGCTGGTGGAAGAGAACCACCAAGGGAAGCGCCGGGTCATCCATGATGCGACCTACCGTTTCTCATTCATTTGAACTGCACCACTGCACCGTTATTCACCTGTTTTACACCCATTGCTTTCTGAAATCATGATGGGAGATGAGAGCCAGCACTGGTGGTTGCTGGACTCCGGTGCTGCTGCAACAGTGATGGCAACAGCATCACGTGCAACGTATGGTGCATGGGTTGTAAACTCTCAGAGTGACCGCTTCCGTTCGGCAAATGGCAGTAAGGTGAACATAGATGGATCAACTACCCTTTCTGTTTGGGTTGGATTCAAAAGGAACAATGATAATTTGGAAAGATTCCCAGTGTACCGTCAAGCCCAGTTGAAATGTCTTGTAGGTGGGATTAGTCACAACATCATTTCAACCAACACTCTCTGAGAGTGCGGGTGGGAATTCAATCAGAATCCACAGGGTGCTGAAGTTACCCATTGTGCGTCAGGTTTGAGGTTAGACGACATTTGTAACTTTGGTGGATGTCCTTGGGTTAAGCTGGACCCTGCATGAATGTATAGTGGTTCGGAAGCGTTTGCACAGCATGGTGATGGATTCATCATGTCAGAGGGTTTGAATGCGGTGCACGACAACACCAACTTGAATCCATTGAGCCGTGCGCAGAGGCTGCATTGGAGACCCACAGAATGCAAGGGCATGTACCCTATGATCCGAGGTGCACAATTTGTGCACGTGGCAAATCAACCTTTCAACATCGTCGCCGTCGTGAAGGCGCTCTTGAAACTGAAGCGCAAGCTGATTTTGGTTTTCTAACCACCCGTGGAGAGATGGTTGACGATGTAGCTGATGGAACTATCAAGTTCTGGTTTTGACTGAATTATCGACTAACTGCGTTGGCTATGTTGTTGTGGGCCAGGAGACACGTTCCGTGAAGAATCATGGCTGGATCATTTCGGCCTTGCATCATCAACGTCTTCCGTTGTCCTGCATACTGATGCCGAACGCGCAGGCCTTCCGTTCAAAGAAGGCACCGGTACCTCTGCTGGCCCCCACCTACTCCTTCACGGGGAAAGACCGGTGGACACCTCTTATGCAGAGCTGGGACAAGATGCGGGACTTGGAGAAGTTCAAAGGCATTGACTATATGATTCCCACCCTGAGTAAGGACTCAACGGGGGTCATCGCGCGGCCCAGTGCGGCTGACGGAGCCCTTAGGTGGCTAAAAGCGGCTCTCCACAGGCACTGGGGAGCAACTGTGGACCCGTCAATCTTGGCCAACTTGACCTGGCATAGCTTCAGAGTTTTTGTCCCTGACTGTGCATACCAGTTGGGATTCCCACGAGATCAACGGCAATACCTGGGAAACTGGACCACAGAAACAACAGCAGACATCTACACCAGGGACAAACGGAATGTAGTAGAAAAAGTCTGGAAAGCAGTGGGGGACAAGATGGGTATCCTCAAGCTGGACAACCCCACTGCGCTGCGTCGAATCGACCTCAACCACGAAGATTGGGACGACCCGATCCCGGTCCAGGACGGTGTCTGGACATGGAGGTCCTTGACACGCCAGACCATCCTGAGGAGGATGCAGCAATGACAGGAAGCCACTCCAACAAGCGGCGCCGGACGCCCACAACGGCAGGGAGCCTAGGGACGTGGCAACTGATCTGGGATGACCAACAACTTCCACCCCCACTGGGTCCATTGCGGGTGGTGTCACCCTCGAAGAAATCTAGGGCAACGAATCAGTACAGCGTGCACCTCCTTACCCAGGAAGGGAAAGCCGTGGGTTGTGGTTGGGAACCACCATCAACGAAGGCACTGGACCTGTCACCTGAAGACTTCATCAACGAACTTGACTCTTACGCCCAGTGCAACAGGTGCTTCAAGCGATACCCATACCCAAAGGAGTGGCACGCCGAGGTCATCCAGACCCAGGGCCCTCTCAGAAGGGTCATTGTCTAGCCTGAGCTCGGGCTCAGACACACTGGACTCAGTGGACACTGAGTCAGATATGGAAAAGACCAATGGTGCGGCCCTTAGCCAACAACAAATCCTTCTCCCTGCGACCTGAACCAGCTGTGTGCGGTTAGGGTGAATGGGAGGGGGTTTGTCAGGGGGGACAACGTCTTCCTGCCATCCTTCGGTTTGATGTCACTCTTTTGAAAAAAGATGAAAGCCTTATTTCTCCAAACAAAAAATTGTGAGCCCTCACAAATAAGGATCAACAGGAATCTTCTCTGGTTGGTGGTAAACAAACGTTTACTAAGTGTTGAAACACCCAACCAAATCTGGAAAGCAAACAACTTAGCATTCAACTTTCCAAATTTATTTTCTAAACCTTCGATGTGGCATTTAATAATTCCATCAAGGAAACACCACATCCTTCACACGTCACATCATCGTTTGTAATGCTGTGACCTTTCCCAATCAAGTGGTGGGAGGGCGGGAGTCCCTTTAAAATAAGGGCAATAATTGCACTTGTGTTCTCTTTTTCGAAGCGTCGGCAACTGCGTTTTTTGTAGTAAGTTTTATTTATGTAAATTGTATATTTACATAAATACTGCTTACCTTACATCACAACGGTACGCCATATAATTTAATATATAATTATATGGATTGCAAATAACATCGAAACTTCCACCACCAGTGTTGAATTAGTCTCAACCGATCCTGGTTTTGTGGAGAAATAAGGGTGTGGTGGTGTCAGTCATCCGTTGGTTTGGGTTGTTTTTGATGACACCACCACTGATTTCTT